TGCCTAATAAATAGGTGGTCTGTCTTGGTTGGCTCTGTCAATCATTTCTTCCTTCCTACAATGTAATTGTTGCATTTCATCCTTCCAAGAGTGCAAATGGCATTCTTCCTAAAATATGTAGCATTCTAAATGGCGTATTTTATTTTTCTGGAATCTGCTCTGCTTCCCCCAGGCAACATCACCTGTGCACCTGTAGCATGGTGCACAGAAGCCTGCCGAGCCAGCAACACTCCCTCGGTAGCAGCACCGTGACCTCTGTGCCCCTCAGGATGGAGCAGAGCTGGTCCTGAAAGCACTTGGGGGGGCTACTCCTTGGCATGGGGGTAGGGGTCCCCTGCGATGTCCTGACCCAAACCCCACAAGCCCCACAAGGAAGATCTCATACAGACAGCAGGCTGCGTTGTTCCCTTTTCCCAGCCAGGAGGAAGAGTCAGGCTTGGACCCTCTCAGGCCATCCAGGAGCCATCCTGGAAAATGGAGCCTCCTTTGTCTCCGCAGACAGGAACTATCACCACAGGGGCTGCGGCCGGACAGGGAGGCGATTTCTCCAGGAGAGTAATAGGTTTGCGTTTTTTCCCATTTTCCAAATCCGGTTACCCTTGGGCTGTGGCTTTGATGTGAATGTGGCTAAACCCCTGGTGAGCCACGCACAGCTTTATCAGGAGAGACAGATGCAGACACTGGGGTCGTTCACTGCCCCCCACCTCCTAATCCCAGGTGCTGCCCAACTCCCAAGGGGACAGGGACCCAGGCGGAAGCTGCTATCCTTACCCTTCAGCCCACGGTGGTTGGTAAATCTCAGCCTATGCCTCTGGCCATCTCCAAGGCAGAGACTGTCCACACTATTCTTTTTATGGGACGACATGAATATTCAGATACTCAAAATTCTGTCCCCTCCCTTCGCCCACCCCCACCCAGCCAGAGAAGTAAGACTGCATGCAGACTCATACACTCCTTTCCAGGAGGGAAGAAATCAGCAGGTCAGATCCGAGCTATTGATTAAGAATACTAGGTGGCATGATGTGTGCCTGCCTCCACTCACTTTTGCACCCGAGAAAAGGCATGGGGGGCTGGAGGTGGCTCAGTGGTAGAGCGCTTGCCTTGCATGCATGAGGCTCTGGGTTCGATTCCTCAGCACCACATAAGCAAAAAAAAAAGCCAGAAGTGGTGCTGTGGCTCAAGTGGTAGAGCACTAGCCTTGAGCTGAAGAGCTGAGGGACAGCGCCCAGGCCCAGAGTTCAGGCCCCATGACCAGACCCCCCCCCCCAAAAAAAAGAAAAGAAAGGGCATGGGACCCTCCACCCAGGGCAAGAATGGCAGACATTATGAATCTTTCCTTCTTTAGGGGCTAGTATGGGAAGCTGACTTTCCAGGTTCTTGGATTTTTTTTCCCCAAATACATAAACTCACACCTGTGATACTAGCTACTCAGAAGGCTGAGAGAGGAGGACCGCAGTTCAAAGCCAGCCTAAGCAGGAAAGTCCCTAAGACTCTATCTCCAATTAGCCAGCAAAAAACTGCAAGTATTGGTATGGCTCATGTGATACAGCACCAGCCCTAAACCAAAAGCTAAGTGAGAGCATGAGGCTACAAGTTAAAGCCCTTGCACAAAGATGGAAGGAAGGAAGGAAGGAAGGAAGGAAGGAAGGAAGGAAGGAAGGAAGGAAGGAAGGAAGGAAAAATTTGGAGATGATATTCATTTACATTAGCTAGCATTTCCAAGGAGCCCTTGGCCTGTGGGTTTGCACGAAGGTAAATTTCACCTACCAAAAGGAACGCTTTCTTCTGTGGTTTGCAGGTCCCTAAGACTGAGCATCCCAGCTACTTGAGTGATACCCATCAGAGCAGACCACAGCCAGGGGCCTGAGCAGGAGCCACGGCCTGGGCTAACAGACCCCAGCTGTCAGCCAGAACCCGGCCCCCTTTGCAGCCTCCCCCTGCCACGCACACAATGTGAACTCGCACAGCTGTTTTCTCATGGTCCATTCGAGTCCAACACGTGTCCTTCTACAGGGAGAGGCTGTGGCTACCAGTGAGCTGCTCCAAGCAGGAGAGCGGCTTCCTGGGACAGATTTCTCAGCCCGATTCACAGGCAGCACTGTCCAGGTTGGGGTAAATGTGTGTTGACCACATTGTGTGTGGATTTAAACTCGTCAGACAACAGTTGCTGGGGGTATCAGTTTTACGGGAAAAGCAGAAGCAACTTGACCTCTTGCAGATCATCTTCTGTGCATGTAGACTTTGGGACATTATTTTTCCTGGAGCTCAGTAGTCATTCAGAAAAAGCCCCTCTGTCTGGGGTCCCCCTCTCTCCCTCTCCCCCCATCCCCCTCCTCCCCAGTTGAGAAGACAGAGTCTCAGCCCAGGATCCCACAGCCAGCCCAGCCAGCCTCGGGCTTACCACATGCCCCACGCTAGGCTCTTCTCCACTGAACCATCCCATTCATTTTGTCACTGGCAGGGACTTTGTGATTGCCTTCACGTACTGGGCACATTGGACACGCGTTAGTACCAAACCACAGCCACTGTCCCTTCCAGGCTTACTACCTAAGCACTGGGCCTGCTGTACCCATGAGCAATACGAGCCAGTCTCATTATGAAGGCTGGCACTCAACTTCCGATTAGACATCCCAGCTTAGCTTTGGAAGTCTCTTGTCATCTGCAAGGTCGTGTTTCCTTAAACTTCTGTTAGACTCAGACTGAGCTGAGTCTACGCCCTGGCACGCCCCCCACCCCCATCACTCAATGGCTTATACACAAATAAAAGTTGCTTACTGATGGACTCTTCAAGAGCAAAACTCGGGGGCTACATTTGGGACAAGAAAAGCCATGGGTCATACTGTGGCCTCCCAATGCCACCAAGAGTCACGAGTCAGGGCAGGGAGGAGAAGAGGATCGGGGTCTATAAGCAAGGTCCATATGGTATGCCCACAGACCAGCACCCTCCCCCTAGAATTCCCTTTTCATTCCACTAGGCTCACTCTGGAAGAAAAAGAAATCTAATCACCACCAAAAGGTGAAACCTACACATGAATATAGTACTTACTGGAAACATCTAGAAAGCCTAAGGGTCTCCACATTGTGTTACGGATTATAGAAAGTAAGAATAAAGGTCACACAGGGATGGAGGATTTCTGTCTCTCGTTCTGATGTCCAGGCCTCTTTTCAGGCCCAAACCTGACTGAGTTCACGTGTGGCCACGTGACATGCTCTGTGAAGTTAAGTCAGACCAGAGATGATGTGAGTTCTTCTCAATGCAGCACTGCGGGGAAGTTTGTCAGCTGCCCATGCTCTGCTCCCCTGCTGGGGCAGACACGAAAACCTTGAAGCGGGGGCCGTGTGACATGTGGCCAAATACCCATCACCTAGTCCCTTGAATGTGGACACTGCAAACACTGCCCCAAGTGCCCGCCCTCCCACACTGCCCCGCCCCCAACGTGGAAGTCCCTCCCCTCCAACTCTGAGCTCAGCCAAATGATGCCATCCAATCTCTCCATCTGCCATGAGGAGACCTGAAATGCCCCCTGAAGAGGGGAGACATTAAACCATGAATTAGCAAATCATATGGGTAGTGTAATCTCTATGCTGATCACTATAATCATGTTTCTGTTCTGAAACTTTAACATTTTCAATACCCTAAGCTAACAAATTATTACCATTAATCAACATAGCAGCAAGAATTTATTGTCCACTGAAGCATAAGGGTTAGTGCATTCACTGTATAGACAATACTAAGGAAAACTGAAAGCTAAAAGACCCTATACTTCTTTAAGGACAAAATATCTCAGTATTGAATTGGATTTGAAATGCATCCTTGATAGAAAGTAACCTTGACTCTCTAGCTAATGGATAATCTGAGAATAATAAAAAAAAAGATATGTCTCTCTGAGGGGTGAGTCCAATCTGCTCTATAAGGGTTACCAAATGGGCTGGGAAGGTGGCTCAGTGGTAGAGTGCTTGCCTTGCATTCATGAGGCCCTGGGTTCGATTCCTCAGCACCACATAAGCAGAAAAGCCAGAAGTGGCGCTGTGGCTCAAGTGGTAGAGCACTAGCCTTGACTGAAGAGCTGAGGTACAGCGCCCAGGCCCAGAGTTCAAGCCTCATGACTGACACCCACCCCCTTAAAAAAAGGGTCACCAAATGTTGGTGCCGATTAAGAATTACACTACAATGTGTGTGTGTGTGTGTGTGTGTGCATACACACAGCCATTATTGCCAAAGCCATGAAAAGCAACTATTTATCACACACATTGGAACACAGGTTAGGTTCATCACAATTCTTCTCCAAAAGCAGACAATACATTCTTTAATATACCAAGTGCCATTTTTCAAGAGAATAATTCAAAGAGAAATCTGAGAGTTGTGCCCACACAAGATTTCCCAGGTAAGCAGCAGAGACCAAGAAGCCAACGGAAACACCATTAGAAATAGAGGAACCATAATTTCTTAGAAGATAGTTCATCATGTCATTTCTAGAAACCAGATATAAACCAAGAACTTATTCCTATGCATGCATATCTTTCCTATCTCTCTCTCTATATATATTATAAATAATGCATATATAATATATATATGCTTACTAGAATATTGAGTCCAAGTTCAAAGACATAACAGAATATATTTGAAAGGAGCCATAGTTCACAAAATTAAAGCTTCCACGGCCCCCATTTTCATCTCTAAATATCAGTCACACCTGTACCATCGACGCGTCTCGCAGACATATCACCTTCTTGCTTGTTTGGAAAAGGAGAAATAAAACCACCATTTTCCCAAACAGGCTACCATAACGGCTACACTCGGAGTAGGAGTAACTCATCCTTACCTATTTACTAGTGCACCAGAGTGTGAGGAACTGAGCCATGGCAAACCAATATCCACACACTGGCATCCTGCTCACGTAGCATCCCCCCAGGGATCCTACAGACAGACAGACAGACCTGAGCGGGCCGGCCATGGGGGGAGCTGGCCAAACCCCCCACGCTGGAGACGCGCAGCCTACCTGACACAAGTGAAACGGTATCTTTCTCCCATGAGACAACGGTGATGTACGCCTCCACCGAGGAGGGGATAATGCACTTGAAGACCGCAACATTGCCTCTCATGGTTTTCTGGTCCTCCACACGGACTGTATAGGGCTCCCGTAAAACTGCAAGGCAGGAAAAGGAGCCTCGGTAAGACACAGAGCCAAGGGTTCACGCCGAGCGCCTCCCAGTCGCATGCACAGCGTGATAACTGCATGACATCTTAGCACATTTCATGTCTTTCATCTGTCCCACATAGTCATTCACTATGAGCAATACACTAAACCCCGCGCTACAGGAAAGCGTATAATTTGAAATGTTTCACCAGACCCCCTGAAGGCAACATGAGGGAGAAGGGGCTTTATTCTTGCAGTACTGGGATTTGAACTCAGGGCCTCGTGCTTGCTAAACAGGCTCTCAACCACTTGAGCCCCGCCTTGATTGTTACATCAGGTATTTTTTTCAAATAAAGTTGGGTTTCCCAGGAGTCTGACCTCAGAAGCACCATTATTATGCAGATAGGATGGAGGTTTGCTCACCTGTGCAGGCAAACCACTAATCCCTTAGGGAGGTTGAGGCTGAAGTTTCACATTGGAAAGAAGCCACAAAGAGACAAGTCAACTAACACTGCTCATAGCTAACTGAGAACGTGAGTGTGTTGGAGGGTAGAAGAAGCAAAGAGGAAAGGGCCGTGAGGCAGGAGGGGAGGGGGGGGAGAGAGAGAGAGAGAGATTGAGAGAGAAAGGCTGGACCACCAGAGAGAGGGGAATCCATTATCACAGGGACAGAGGCCTAAGCAAATGTGGATTCCAGCTGTCTATAAGGGCAGAATCCCATGAGAGAGAAAGGAAGAAGGGAAGTACTCCCACCCTGCTTCCCCACCTGACTTGAGTAGTAAGTCATTTTTAAAAAATCACCTAAGGACTTCTAACAACACCTGGCACAAAAGAAGTACTAGATGAACTGTCATCCATCTGCATCGGGCAGCCTGGGCTCATCCTAGGACCGACACCAAGGGTGCACCAGTCCCTCACGTAAAGCAATAGTGTCAGACTGGAGCCCCAGCTACTTGGGAGGCTGGGGCAAAAGATGCACTTGAGCCCAGAGTTCAAAACCAGACCGGGCAACGTATTGAGAGCTCGTCTCAAAAAGACAGATTAAAATTAAGCAAAACAGAGCAATAATTGCAAGTCCACCTATATACATCCTCTAGATGATTTTGAATCCCAAATACTGTATAAGCGCCATGTGTATTTTCCTGTTATAAAGAGTATTCTTTAGATACTCTTTAAAGAGTATTCTGTCCATAATTTGCACTCATGTGTTGACCTTGAATACCACGACTGCGACACTCTCAGTTAGTTACTGGCTCCACTAGCTGCCTTGCAGATTCCATCAGACATTTTGCATTCATGATTCTCATCCACAAATAAGATAGGCAGACTCCTGAGCCATTCTGCACACAGTTCATGTCTTTTTCTTGTCATATTGCTCTGGCTGCAGCCTCTAATTCAATGCATGGTGGAAGTGGTAGACACACACAGTATTGCTGAAGATCCTTGCAGTACAGGAGAACATTTCCACTTTCAGTGTCCGTTTGTGAGGTGTGCTGTATCAGGATTTTTCTACTTGTTTCTATTGGAATGAAAATCTGCCCTTGTCGTCTCAGTTTTCTGAGAATATTATCACGAGTAGATTTGTTCATTTTTTGCATCCATTGGAGTTTTTTTGAGGGGGGAGTTCTTCTTCTTCATTACCTTTAAGCCGTTGTACAAAGAGTTACCATTCAGTTCATAATTACAATGCATCCATATCACCCTGGTGCTTCCCTACCCACAGGGACATTTGTCTGGTTTCCCTCTCTGATAATGCCTTCATTTTCACTTACTTTCAGGGTAATGCAGATCTCCTCTGATGCTGAAGAATCTATATAGGATTGTTTTCTATTATTTCTTCCTTAAATGTCTATTAGAACTCAGAGTGGAGGGGGGGTGCCATTTTAGGAAACATTTATCTATGAAATAATAGATGTGAGAGTTCTCAGTGTGTCCATGACTTCTTTGGTGAGTTCATGTTTTGTGTTTCTCAAGAATATTTCTATTCATCTAGGTTGTTGAATGTATTGACATGTGTTCACGTTTTTGTGTGTATGCCAGTCCTGGGTCTTGAACTCCTGGCCTAGGCACTGCCCGGAGCTTCCTCTGCTCAAAGCTAGCACTCTACTGCTTGAGCCACAGCTCCATTTCTGTGCAGTAGTTCATTGGTAGTTTATTCGTGATAAGAGTCTCATGGACTTTCCTTCTTGTGCTGGCTCTGAACAGCAATCCTCAGATCTCAGCCTCCCGAGTAGCTAGGATTACAGGTGTGAGCCACTGGTGCTCAGCTCATATCCTCGTTCTTAATATTTTGTTATTATCACTCTACCAATCATGCTTTCCATTGTTTCCTATCCTCAGAGGGAAGGGGATCTCGGTCACCTGACCTGTGGAATGAACAGAATTGCTGTGCAAACCCATTTTGTGTCCTCTGTCCAGAGACACATGGCAGAAAAATGGGGCCAGTCACCTTGTCACTCCTACACTTGGCTTTCAGGAGGAAGTCCATGTGCTCCCCATCTGGTCTTCTGAAGGCCCATTCAGTTCTGCCCAGCATCTGCACACAGGTGAAACCAGATGTTCAAGTAGCCAATAAACCATCTAAAGATGGGTGTGGAGCTGGGAATGTAGCTCAGTGTCCCAGCAAGTGCTTAGCAAAAGCAAAGCCTCGGGGGTGATATCCAACACCCATGTGGCAACTCTAACACGTTCAGAATGAGCAAAATGAGAGGCACTATGTGGCCCTTGGGCATTGTGATTGTCCACAGTATATGTTCAAGCAGACCCCTCAGTGCAGGCCCGAGCCAGAGTTAACAGGGTTTCTGATACAGACACACACATCTTAATCCCATAGCTATGCAAGACATAGATGAAACTTCTGCACCCCCAACCAAACTTGCAGTGTCATGCCAAATCAACATACACTGAGGAATCCGGAAAAACGGCAGTTAAAGCTGACATGAGCATGTGATGCCTTTGTCTGACAGGAAACCGGTGGTGGAAATCACGGATTATCTCACACAGATAGAGCTGTCTGAAATTCCAGGTTTCTGTATAAGTGGAGCTTTGTAGACTATAAATACGTTCTTGTAACACATCATTAAAACACTCAGTCTGCCAAGTCAAAAGCATTCACTGTATCTCTGTGTTTGTCAGGCATGGAGGTCCCTATACAAACTTCATTTGCTTTATTTTAATGATTTGACATATCAAATTTCCATTGATTAAAGCCAGTCTTCCTCCGTCTTTCTTAAGTGCATTCTTGTGCAGATTTTGGAATTCATGAGCGTGTCACGGAGATCAAAATATCGTTGAGAAAATGACTAGCTGGCAGAGTGAGTCACAGTCTAATGTTTGATTGCTTATATCAAAGAGATTGTATGCAAGAGCTGGGGAACAATCTCACATTTGTGCTCCCAACGATGTGTCTTCTCCAAAACCTTCCTCACTGTGGCAGCAGTCATTGCAAAGTTCCCCCAGCTACCTGGTGCACGAGACCCCAGCCCAAGGCCCTTTCTTCTTCCCATTGTGCCACTTTACGCCAGTGTGTCAGTGGCAGGCTGAAAAAAAAATAATCAGAATGCTGTTTGCTAACAGGAGTCTGGCTGGGGGTTTGTTTTGCAGGGCTTTGTCGGATCTACAGAAGGACACAATATGTCCTGTGTACAAAGCCTCTGATGTCTGCGCATCTCAGGCTGCGTTTCCCAGTTGACTCCTAGCAGTGATGATCTTAAAGTCACAATATGTTGTTAAAAAGAACATATTTCCACAACATGGCGAGCAAATGAGACTGCTCTCTCTCTATTCCAGTCTGCACTGAGAATGCAAATATTTGTCTTTCGTTTCCCCTCCTTTCTACTTCCTCTCAGATGGCGGAGCGGAAGGGAGGGAAGGAGGAAAAAGGGAAAACACACCCACACCAGATGTGAGCCAGAGAAAATGGGGGTCCAAGCATCCGTTAGTGACAACATAAGAAGGTTAGGATAAACTGGAGAATTTAATAGCCACGTTCAAGCTTTAGTTCCCACATGATGAGCCCCTTGGAATCTAGTGAACAAATGACCAGAGACACAGAGAACAGATAGGCACCAGGGTCGCCAAGCTTGGGGAAGCCGTACTCACCAGCCTTGATGTGGACATCCTGACTTCTAATTTTCCCTGAAGGATTTTCAGCTGTGCAATAGTAAGTATTATCGTGGATTAAGGTACTGAAGCTCGAAGGAGGGAAGGGGAAGATTTGGAGAGTGCCGTTGGGGTGGACATGGCGGATGCCGGGGACATCGTAGATCTCCTCACCCGTGGCTAGGTACCATCTGAGAGTCACAGGAGGGACGCCTGCGGCCGGGCAGGGCACCAGCGTCCCCGAGGTACTGGCAAACACTACCTCTTGCAGAGATGCATTGACAAAGTAGAGGCTGGAGTGAGCTTCTTCAGTGAAAACTGCAAGAAGACAACAGAAACAGCCGGTCAGGGGAACGTCACACACTCTGCCTGCAGCTCGGTCAGCCCCGAGCAGTCACCACAAGGCTCAACTCAAGCTAAAGAACTGGACGTTGCTCAGGATACTCAGCACGGAGAGGCTGGGGTCTAGTTTCCTATCTGTGTGGACAAACTGGTCAGTTCTGTAGAACTGAACTTTTGATAACTGAAGAGCATGTTAGCTTATCCCCTCTTGGTCCCCCATGGTACAGATCAATTTTGTATTTTACATCGTTTGCTGCTCACAGAGGCCAGGGTCTGGTCTCACGCTATTTCCAGGAGTGTCACAACCAAGATTGGGCAATGGCAGCAACAGCAGCCATCCACCGAGAGGTGGCTGAGATCTGAAGCTCGGGTTGCCCGGCACACAGACACGTATCAGATGCAATTCACCGCTGTTTACGAAAAAAAAAAAAAAAAGGAAAACCATATGCACAGCATTTGAAAAGGGCAACGGGTCATTATAAAAATAGAACATTGAGCCCATATTGCATTTGCTGTTGGCAGCTGAGAGTAAATAACGTGATTTTGGCAAAGTTATTACTCAGTCTTGCCAGGCTAGCTTCTGAGTGTTTTCCCCGCATTTTTATTAGCACACTAGTGGTAAGTAAATGCAGAGCATTTCATCGTGATATTTCCACACAGGAGTATAATATTCTTTGACCGTATTCTATTGATCTTTACACTTCCTCTTCTGGTCCACACATGCCCATGCGACTTGCACTGTGTTTGAGTGCACACACACAAAATGTGCTCTGGTTTTAGATTCTGCTTCATTTGTTGATGCTGTGTGTGTGTGTGTGTGTGTGTGTGTGTGTGTGTTCATATATTAGTACCTGTTAAACTACTTTCCTCTGATCTTTTTAAAATTTAAATGTGTTTCTGTTTGCATTCCTACAAATAAAACAACAGCAAACACTCCTGGAGTGTGGTGAGGTTGCTGTAATGTCTGTGTCATAAGATGCACCTGCCCATCCATTTGTATGTATTCAACTTGGGTTGGTAAGTAGGGCTGAAAACATCTATGCCATTCAAAGATCATGAGACTGGATCTGGAGTAAACATTGAAACTTCTTAGTGAGTGTGAGAGTGGGGATTGGCCCAGACAGCTAGCAGCCGAACGTCGCCCTGTAGCCAGGCTGACAGCACAGGGGTGACCAAACTCAGAGCACCGCGCTCTCTCCAGATTCCCTGGTAGAGCAATGCCCTCCTATGCATGCACGCATACACTCACACTCATGCATACATACACACACCACACCTCTGCAGCTAGAAGTATCTTCAGCTAAGCTCCACACTGGGAGTCAGCCCCACAGCTCCAGCCACAGGGAATGACCTTGTCCAAGAAATGAGGGTCCACAGGCGTGTCTGGAGACTAGGGCCTTCCTGTTAAGGCCTGTGAAGGACATCGGCTGGGACCCTGTCTCCTCCCTCCCTCCCGCCCTTCTCACTTCCTTCCTGCTGTGTCTCCTGACGACACAGCCCCAGCAGCTTTCTGAACACAACACCCCTCCGTGTCACCCTCGGCGGGCACGTATTCTCTCTTTATTCTTCTTAGTGCTAATGTGGCCTCACGCTTGCGCTAGCACGGAGGTAGGCCTCCAGGCCTCGTTTTCACCGTCTAGGCTTAGGATCGGCTCTCACTTCCTGCCTGGGCATGGCCCTAACCACAACTGCCAGTGTGTGGACATCCCACCCTTCCCAGATCGCAGGGCCGGACCACGTCACCAGCTCCCCCCGTGGAGATAGCATCTCACAGGCTCTGTGCCTGGCCTGGCCTTGCATAGAGAGCCACCCAATCTCAGCCTCCCACCCAGTTTAACAGGCACACGTGTGGCGTCCAGCTATAGACTGCGACAGGAGCTGCCCAGGCTGGCCTCAAACTCTGATCCTTCAATTCTCAGCCTCCATAGTAGCTGAAATGACGGGGTGAGCCAAACTCTCATATTTTTTAATAATAAGTAAAATTAAAATGGAGCCAACTAAGATCCGATGTCATTCCATACCAGAGCACAAGAAACTAAAAATGCAACTAAAAATATGGCACAACTAAACCCGAGAGGTCACTGGGTGTGGGAGGGCTTTGGAAGCAGTTCCTACATTGACTCACGTCACGATGCAGCTGAGACTTGCAGGCTGTGAATTTCTGGGGATCTCTTGGTTTATCATCTGTCTTACAAATGAACATTTCCACGATACAACACAAGGTGTTTTGGACAATGAAGCACTCCTACCATCTCGTGGCATCGCAGACCTCCTAAGGGGGCAGCTGGATGCAGGGCTTCCGTATGGGTGTTCACAATGTGTGTTGTAAGAGAGCTATACCCTGCCAGCCACACAAATGGAACACATGGCTCACAATATCATTGATGGCAATAAACCACTATGTTGCCAGTTTATGCATTTACTATATGCAATTTTATGACCACTTTAGAGCACATTCTTATCTGAAAAAGGTTTACTGTAGACAGTGTTCTGTGTTGTGTTGACAGCAGCCTCGTGCATCCTGTGTTTCCGTGGGTGTCTGTGTGTCTGTGTGTGTCTATGTGTCTGTGTGTGCCTGTGTGTATGTGTGTATGTGTGTGTTTGTGTGTCTGTGTGTTTGTATGTATCTGTGTGTCTGTGGACACTGGCACTGGGCCTTGAACTCAGGGCCTTGAGCTCTTGCTTGGCTTTTCTGCTTGAGGTTGGCACTCTACTGTTGAACCACATTTGCACTTTTCTTGGGGGTGTGTAAAGATGCCACTCGCGATGTCCTCCCTCCAGGATAGGCCCACGACGAGGGATTCACCCAACAGTGCATTTCTCAGAACATATCCCCCACTGCTATCCGGCATCTGTGCCGGATGGGCTTAACGCTTTATCAACGCACACTGCAGTGTTTCCTAAACGTCCATTTGTGAATCCACTGACTTCCTGTATCCATCTTTCCCATCATGCATTGTTGGGCAAAAGGTCAAGGATATTGTTACTTTTGTAAGATTTCTATTTTGTACAATTTGCGGTTTGAGCGTTACCCCCCTAGCCGGGGAACGGACCATTGCTGGAAGCCGGGGCAGGACGGCGGAGTGGATGAAAACTCGCACGGAGGCGCTGGCTCAGAGGGGCGAGGCGAGAACCCAGGCTCCCTTCACACCACTAGGAGCCCTGCGTGCCCGTGCAAGCTGCACAGCACCGATTCCCCACAGCAGGACGGAGCCCTGATAGGCCTGCTTATTCCTTAATGGAAGAAAGGGCCAATCCTACCGTCCATCTGGGCATTCCTGGCTCAGCCGTGCCTGTGACGGAGGACTTTCCCGCAGGCCCGGGTCTGCGTGAGGATCCTGGCTTTCCCACAGGCCCAGGTCTGTGCCAGGATCCTGGCTGATGACACACCACAGTCTCGGGAAGGACTGAGCCACTCCATTGGGCAGAGGTACCACCAATGGAGCCAGGTAGGACAGGAAGGATAACAAGTTTGTCGGGACATACGGCAGTAGGTGACTGAGACATGGCCAGATCCAGCTATGCCAAGGAACCTGCTCTGGGTTCCATAGGGAATGTTGGCTTTGACTCCATGAAACCAAGAAGCTGAGCCCTTCACGGAAACCAAGGAGAGACACCGCCCACACACCGCACACTCGGTAACTTCATTGTTTCCCAACTTCAGACGTATGTTTAATAGGAGGTTGGGGTGGAGACGGGGTGGGCTGTGGCCTCCTACCTCAGTCTAGAGGATGAAAACCTCCACGGGAAAGATGTCACACAATTATAGAGCAGAAGTGAGGCAGCAGGCTGAGCTCACTCAGGTCTTCACTGCCTCCCGTGCAGCAACTGAATGGTCACGTGACCAGCCATTTAGACACTCAGCCTAGTTTCAAGTAGAGTAGGGGTGGAGACAGAGAGAAGGCATTTGTCCGAAGACTAGAGGGTCCTTCACATTCCTTCTATTTTCGTTTATTCCATCTTCTGTGATATTTAACAAGTCATATAGGTTGCATTCTCCAAAGACACACAGAATAGATACTTTTTCCTTAACTTATGTGTGTCATAGTATGGTTGCTTTTTGTGTGGAAAGCCAAGTTTGGGGCAAGCTATGTGCATGAGCATCCATCTTCCTTCTTTTGGTCCCATCTCTGGGAATGACCAAGGGTTTGACCACCAAGGCCATGGCTGACTATGGTTGAGCCAGGAAGGAGAGAATCTACCATTCATTCAAAGATGATGGAGAAAAAAATCCACCTCATAAATGTGACAGACCGTCTCCAAAGAGAAGAGAGAGGAAGGTGTTCATCAGGTAGTAATTGTTTTGTAGTTTTCTTTCTCAAATATTACAGTCTTTAGCAAAGCTTCTTAAGTTATAATAGGAAAATTATTGCCAACTAAGAAATCAGTTCTGATCAGAACAGAGTTTAAGAGTTCAATATTGTAATTTTCAACTCAAATAAAAGACGCTGATAGTAGCACTATAATTTTACATTCCAGCTTTCTAAGAATCTGACATTACCCTCAAACATATTGTTAGGGATGAGGTAACTGTCATTCTTCAATGCTAATTGATTCCACAAAGACTTCTGGGATTTTTATTTTTTTACAGTCCTCTTCTGCCAACTCAATTGTGAGTAATTTTGAACCAAATAAAAACTTAGTTCTATGTGAGTTTAGCCTGGTCTCTCCTAAAAGTAGCCTTGACAAGAATGGAAGCATCTTTAAAAATGAGGAGCTATGTAAGAAATGCGGTTTGACTAAATGTGCAACATTTATTCCAGGAGCCCGCTTGTGAAATCATGAAAATGACTGCAGGAAAAATGATAAATAAATGTTTAATCCTACTAAAGAGATAAGTAACCTATAGGGGATTGCTGTCACTTCTCTTTATATTTCCAAGGCATTCCACATTTCTCTTTCTAGTTCACACCACGGGCCTATGTAATAAAACATAAACTCATTCTCTCAGATACACATCAGAGAGCTACGGGCAA